CTAGAGCGATAGAGACAAAGGACGCGGAAGAGGCGAGATGTGTGGAAAGGAGGGAAACGACAGGGAGAGAGAGAAGATGTGTCCCTTTTACAGAGCTACAACAGATGAGGGCCAGGATTAAAGCGTACTCGCGAGTGTAATCACTGGTTGTACTCGACTAAGTAGAAGGACACGTGGACAGTAATTATTTCACATTTGGTAAACTTTATCTATAAAATAATGCATTAGAGAATTTTTTAATATTAAAATAAAATTTTGGGAATTTTTGGGTTATTTACGAAATAAGAAATTTCATGAAAGTTAATCAAATTACAAAATTAATTGTCCTGTTTACCTTTAGAAAAATGCAATTTTTTTCTATCTCCCTATTTTAAAACTAAATATTATATATATTCATTACATCAGTTAATTAGTAGGAATTTTAAATTTTGGAAATCTTAACTTTTTAATTTTTTGAAAAAATAAAATCAATTAACTTTGGTTTGTGTAAAAAATAATAATAATTTGATGTACCAAAATAAATCAAAATTGCTTTTGTAGTCTTTTCTTTTTATTTCTATTTCTACCCAATATGTTTATGATTTACAAATATATATATATATATGAAATTTTATTATTTTAAATATTTTTATCATTAATATTAATAAGATTTAACAAATTTATACATAAGAATTTTAATTTCATTAAAAATATTATTAAATTAATTTACTTGATCAATAAAAAAATTAAGTTTCTATTAAATTGTTTTATCTTCGTAGTTCTCATTTTACATTACCATTAAAAGCGATAAACTAATTTTTATCTAATTTCAATTAATTGGATTTATTTGATAAATGAAATTTTAAAGTTTACATTAATTTATTTTATTTTTAAATTATAATTTTTCATTAACATTAAAAGGATAAACTTAAGGTAATCTAGTATGTATGACATACGAGATAGAATTTACATATTAATGAAAATTTTGATTAATATGTATTTTATTAATTAATTCAATTAATTGCATAATATATAAATTTATATTTAATATATAATTATTAATAAAACTAAATAAGAATACAGTAATTTCATAAAAAGAGGTCATTATAGATAAATTTAACAAAAATACTAAAATTGTCATAATTAATTAAGTAAAATTTAAAATAAGCTGAAAATTAAAAAATTTTATTTAAGTGGAACATAATTTAAGAAAATGTGAAGGAATGGGGTGAATTAATATATTTTTGGCTAAAAATATTGTCTATTTTTATTTAGTTGGAAACAATTATTTGAAGTGATAGTAAAAATTGAGTACTCTTTATTGTTGAAAATAAATAGAAAAATCCCATTTAAATATAAGATAATAAGGAATTCAAGACTTGATAGATATGTAATAATACCATTTAACATAATTCATTAAAAGTATAAGGTATTTAAAATTAAAAATTGAAAATATGGAAGACAAAAAATTTAACTTTACTCGATAATTTGCTCAAACTTTGAATAAGTTCACAACAAGTCTCGGTTGTATTTGTTAAAAATATGATTAAAAAAAATATTATTTTAAAATTAATAAATTTTAAAATTTTGACTGTAATTATCTAACTTTTAGATAATTGGTTGATCAATACAACATCATTAATCCTTTATTTTCTAACATTTCAAATTCTATTCAAAACTTTGAAATGGAATTTACAACTTAGAAAATAATAAGATAACACAATACAAAAATCATATGAATAAAACACGAAAATAATATGATTTAAAATTTTAAAAAAATTATAATTAAGTTTAATAAAATAAAAAATTATATTTTATATTTTCGTATTAACATAAATTATAACATGTAATTTTTATATAAAATATAATACGAATATAATATTTTATACGATATGATAACATGAATTATTAGATATACTTAAAAATGCCAATTGAAATATAAGTTATTGGCAGCACATGGTCTCTAAGCTAAGAAAAGAAAGGAGAAAACTAGAGCATCCAATAAATGAAGTAAAAAGAAAAAAGAAAAAAAGGAAGTGGGAATAGGGTAGTTTTCTCAAGTTAAGAAAAAACAATAAATCATTTAATTATTATTTTATTATCCTATACAAGAACATGAAGTTCAAAAATTTTAGAAGTGATCAATTTACATTCTTATTGCATCTATATTTTTTTTAACATATTTAATTATTATTTTAAATAAAAAATAATTCGCATATTACATTTAGAGTTTATTAAATTGAATTTTAAACCTTAATATTAAATTTTTTATTTTAAATTATGATTTTTATGTAAAAAGTTAAAATCACATTTTTAACAAATACTAAATATTTATTCATTTAAATAATTTGGATTAACTTATTATTTGTTATTGAATAAATATGTGATAATCATATAAAATATGTTTTTTAAAAAATATAAATTTAATATAAAAGATAATAATCCAAGAAACATTATCCTACGTGGAAAATAATATGAAAAACAGTTGTCCCAATTGTCTTATCTCTACTCTAGTATTTTGTTCGTGTCAATCGTTTTACACGAGAATCACGAGGGTATTGGAGCCAGCTAAAATCACCGACAAGGGGAGAAACAACTCACGCGTTTTTCATCGCGTGGAAGAATAAATGTTGACTATAATAGTAACATAAAAATGACCGAATGTAGCTTCCTACAATTTGGTTAGATTGTCATTTTAATCTTTGTTTTTTTGAAGTGATCGTTTTTAATTGAACCGACAAAATGAGGAAAGACTGCTGCCTAGAGTCAAAATTCTGAGCTGGAATTTTTTTATGTACTTATTTAGAAAGGCCTAATTACACTTAGATGGTTCATTATTTATAAAAAGAACTTAGGGTTTGTTGACGATGTTTTGAGTAAAGATGAGCTGGCACTCAACCAAATAAATGAGGGAATTAGTATTAAACAATGTTTGGCACCAGCGATCAGCATCTACTTTTCGTCAGCGTTTTAGGTAGGGCAACTTGATTTTACTGTGAATTAGAGAAATTATTTAAAATTTTATTTTTATTAAATTAAAATGGAGAATGAATATGAGATTTAATTTAATTGATTTATTAATATAAAATTTATTTTTTAAATTAACATTTTATTCTTATTTTTTTTATCAAATTAAGCTTTAATGATAATTTATTGATTCATAGATAACTTTAAGTGATAAATGATCAATTAATCACTAATCTAAAGCTTCAATTCAACTCTACCTAAAATGGAACCTATTTGGCAGGAAAAAATATTATAATAATTAAATTATAAAATAACATATGTTGTTAGGTAAATCAATTATGAAATTAATTTTTTTAATTTCTTTTACCAACTATAATTTAAAAGTATAATACTAAAAATGGGAAACGCGTTTGTACAAAATATAATTTCTTTTTTGGCCATACTAGTATTTTTTGAGCATTTATGCAGCATGATATTTCTAGGCCACGATTTTGACATTGTCCTTTGTACAATTATGCTGCATGTTGGAGAAAACAAAGGTTCTGAAAATAGTTAAAATTTGGGGATCGGGAAAGAACAGTCAGAAATAGTAATGGCGGTTGGGAAAGAAAAATTAGGGTTAATAATTTATGCAATTGTGTCATACTTAAAAAATGTCAATTCTAAAAAACCCACCATGTTTAGGGTAAGAAAAAAATTTTAAAAATTAAAAATTATAATGTTCAATCTTATTTGAATTGATTTTTTAGTTCATTTTGATATTAAATATATATTAAATTTAGATTAAATTTGAAATAAAAAGTAAAAAATTAAATTGAGTTATATATTTTTTAATTTTTATAAAATAAAATAATTATTTTAAATTTAAATTTATTTAATTATATTAAAAATATATATTAAAATAATATATAGAAAAATTAAAATTTAAAATGAATAAACTAAATCAAACTAATAAAATTCAATTGAAAAAATAAATTCAAATTTAGATCAAAATTTACAAATTTATAATATTATATATTAACTAAAAAAATCAAATTAAATAATGTTATGGAATATGCCTGGTTACTACTTGCTAGATATTCTTGAAAGGGAATGGGCTAAGTTCGGAACAGAAATGGATAAACATTCCTCAGGCCCAGATATAAAGGTGGTAAATGCTGATACGACTGTAGCCTTGAGAATCCGAACCGACGGCCTATTTACTTTTAAATTTTTGATAAAAAAGACAATCTTAAGACCAAATTCGATTATAACTCGATAATATAGTAAAATACTCAAATCAAAATTGACCCAAATCAAAATAATTTAAATACAAAATTAGTAGATATTTGATTTCACTGACTTTTAAATAATTTGAATATCAAAATGATATACATTTATTGTTCTTCAAACTAAAATTAATCAATTGACTTGAATTGAATCGAAATATGAAATAACATAAACTTAAATTTTTTACTGTTTTATTATGGTGAAAACAATTTTATTTTTGTAATTATTACTAAAAATTTTAATCTTAAAAGGTATATGGAAAAAATCCAATTAATATGATATTAACTTAGTAAGGTCTACATTTTAAAATATAATTTAATATATTCTTGTTTCAAAAGTAAGATTTATATAATTAATAAATAATATTTATAATTAAAACATATTAGAAGATAAAAAGAAACTACCGACTATAAACTTTTTAAAATATAAATGATTTTAACTTGTAATGACTCAAATCTTAGAGTAATATGAACTCAAAATAATCCGAATTAAAAATAACTCAAAGGGTAAACTATTATAAAGTGGCTTGAAATTTGTAAGTGCTAGTAATTTAACATTTGAACATAAAAAGAAACTAAATCAAATCAAATCAAGAATTACGATATTTTCTTGATACTTCCACAAATTAATGAGATCATAGTTATTATAAAATCTGATGATAACTAAGAATGAGATGATACTATAAAATCTTCTTATTTCCTGGAGTCCAAGAAACGTGTTCCATTCATGATTTAGTATATATAATTACCTATGGAAGGATAGTGTCTTCAAGGCCTAAAGAGTCAATGGAGGGAGAAAGAGACGTAAAAGCTTTTGATCTAGTTGTAAAGCTTCCAGCAGATTATTGGGCTAGTTTCAGCAACATGTCAAAGCCCTGGAGTTCACTGACTTCCAACTCTCTTTTGATCTCTTGTTCTAATAATCCCTCCTCTGAAAGATATTTCTTCACTGCCAATGATGAAGAACTGACAGCTCTTCACCGTCTCACCCTCTCCACTGCAGATCAACCCCATACAGTGACCCAAATCCTTAACCAGCTCTTCTGCTTTTATGATGGAAATTCCACTGTTTTTGTTTGTAATCTGTTAAGTCATGAAATCATCCCCCTTCAAACACCAAGTTGCTTGCGATCATGTCACAAATATTCCTCCAAAAAGTATTGTCCTGAATATTTCTTAGGCTTTGAACCTTACTCTAAGTGCTACAAAGTTTTAAATGTTTGTCACATCTATGTCGGTAACTTCATGTCCTGTAAGAGTATGGATACCAATCATACGGAAGTCAATTGTGAGGTATTTGGTTTAGGTACCGATAATTCTTGGAGAAAAATCGATGCCCCACATTTTAGGATTCGACCCTATAGCCAAAGTGTGTGTGTTAATGGAACTTTACATTGGATGCGTACAGATAATGGCAAGGCAGCAGCTTTAGGAGCATTCGATTTGAAGGATGAAAAATTCAGGGCTATGAGTCTTCCAGAGGGAGTTTCTGGACACCATGATTTGATTCAAGTTGGAGAAAATTTGGCAGTCCTGGACTGTGATGATTTTAGGATGAAATCCAAGATAAGGCTTTGGACATTGAAAGACTACAACAATGAGGCTTGGATGAAGGAGGACTTTGATTTTCCATTCAGCACCATGATGCTTAGGCGCCCTATTCCTATCAATAATAGCAACAGAGGGGAGATCATGCTTATAGAATACAATTCATCTTTGCTGTCGAGGGTGTTTGTTTATGATTTTAAGACTCAACAGAGAAGAATGATTGAAATCACCGAAACTACCGATGGAAACAACTTCAAGTTCATGGACGTTGGCAAGCGTGCTGGAATTTTAGTTACCTACTTATCAGGTAAAGAACTTCCTGCCTTTCAAGGGAACTAAGAGCCAGCTACTGCTAAACCTTGAGACATCAATACCTATTCATGTCTTCAAACTCAACTCGGTCAATGAACTAATTTTGTCGAGAAAATATATGAAAGAATTCTATAATCACTCTGTTTTCCTTGGTGATTATTATTTGCAAATAAAACAATGTGATCAGCAACTATAATTTTCTGCAGGGTATCGATCTGGTGAATAAATAGCTGTAAAGAGGAAAAACTTCACTAATTCTTAGAATTGTGGGCGAAGCAAACAACCACTGACATAAATTTATTCACTAGCAAATCAGTAGCAACTGAAACATTCACAATGGAACAGAAAAGGGATAACACCTTTGCTCTTACATTGAATTCGCACACAATTTCCAAGTACTAAATGTAAAAGCTAAAAGCTATCAAATTAACAAAGAAAGGCGATTTTCTCAGTTATTATGGATTTGAGTAACACTTATGTAGATCGCACAGATCGTGATAAGGAGCAAAGAGAGTAGAAACAAAGCCAAGACAGCGCACTTGAGCTCAAATGGGAAGGGAATTGCTGCAGCGTAGCAAAATGCAGCTGCAGCTACCAGGAAGGCAACTTTCTCTAATATCTCTGAAGTTTTGGTGCAACTTGGGCTAACAAACAATGCCACCAAGATAACATTGAATGTAAGTAGGACAAGAAATGTAAGCAAAACGAAGGAAGAATTGGGCTGATTGGCTTGATGACCAGTTTGGGCGTATAGGATAGAAACAGAAACGGCAAATGAAAAGCAGAATGATAGGACTGCGTTTTTCCATTGTAGATGCCGCTGGGCTGCAAGTGTAGGATCTAGTTGTTTCAGGTTGGAGGCAGCAGAAGGAGTTGGTGCTGGCGGCTGTGACTGTTGTTGTGAAGATTCAGGTTGATTAGTAGGAGAAGTTGGCTGACGCAATTCAATGTTGAAAGTGGAAAATAGTGGTGGTACCGGTGGCGGTGACTGTGGTTGCAGGGTCTCAGAGTCATTACTAGAAGGTGGCGATGATGGCTGCATTGGTGGTTGAGATGAATATTCAAGGCTGATAGTAGAGGTTGATGATTCTGTTTGCAGGGTTTCAGGGACATTAGCAGAAGGTGGTGTTGGCTGTGATCGTTTTAGGACTAATTTAGGAAAACTTCCGAGGAATGCTATAATTGAAACAAGAAAAGCTTTAAGCTCTTTCTGGAGGTCCATGTTGATTGCTGCTGAAGTAAAGAGAAGCTAAGGATCTAGACAGGTATTTATAATTGTTTGGCTGGAAAAGAAAAAGAAAAAATAAATAAATAACTGGATGTGGAAAAAAGGACCCTTTTGCATATGAAACTGTTTGAATGAGTGGGCCTACCATAACAGATCGCTGAAGACAAATATCTTTGTAATCGGATGCTCCGAGTTCAACCTAGAAAGGCCTTGATGTAGCATAAACAAATGCAAGGCTTAGGTGAAGTTCCCTCCTACTTTGATTCTGTTATTTCAAACTCAGCACAAGAAAGCTTCTAAGAATGTCCACATTGTTTTTGGTCTTTTTTGTCACTTAATAATGACATCAAAAACACTAGAGTTGCATTTATTTCATTATTTATTTTTTGGTATAAAAGAAATTATAGTTGAGGATAAAAGAAATTAAATGTCAGAATTATTCGTATTACTAATTAAATTAAAATTTAATTCATTTATTTTTTAATTTTATGTTTGAATAGTTGATTTTTTTATTTTGATTTGTTATTATCTTATCGATTAAATTTCAATAATTATGCATTGGAATACATAATTAACATTAATAGATGCATATAATTTCTTTTCAATTAAAACAAATCAAAGTTCTAATCTCACTTTTTTCAAATAAAAAATTTTCAATTGATTAATGTGTCTTAATATTTGAGATTTTATGGGATTCTTCTTCATTAATCTTAAAATTATTACTTATGTTTGTTAACGTAGATTATCTCATATTTAATAAATTTTTAATATTTTTACTTACACGTGATGAGAATATATTAAAATGAATTATCTCACATTTAATAAATTTTTAATATTTCATAATAAAATTCTTCCATCTTCGTTTATTCACAATAGAAGTCTGCTTAAATGAGTAATCTCACATCTAATAAATTTTTAATATTTTATAATATTATATTTAAGTTGAATTTTTTTAACTTATCATCAATTGATTTTAAATTAATTATTTAATAATATTCAAATTTCAATTAACTAATTGCTTCTCTTATAATAATTGATTTTTTTAATTCTTTTCTTTTGGGCAACACAAATAAAAAAAAAAGAAACAAAAATTCCAAAGGAATAAAATTTTCTTCATTTTTTCTTTTTAAAATTAAAATTAGTCACTTTTTCCGATTAGTAGTTAACCCCCACATTTTTAGCCATCCGGACTACACGATGCCTTTTCCATGTCTATTAAAAAATAAAAAAAATAAAGGTTCAATTGTCCTGGCGGATTGTTTTATAATTAAATTTTTAAAAATTTAATCACAAAATATAATTATAACCCGATAAAAATCTCCCCATCACCCTGCCAAGCCAAATAAATAAGAAAATATACAAAGAAAATCACCACAGATGTTTTGCTCAAAAAGATTTGCGTGCAGACCTTGGAACAAAAGGTCAAAGGAAAAACCCATCAGCTAGGCTTTTGATCCGACAACGTATCATAAATCTTAACATATATTATACTGAAAGAGACAAGACCCTAAAAGGAATTAACAAATCGGTAGCTTTTAAGTTTTGATTGTGATCGGACTAATGAAGAATCGACTTTGAGACAAATCCATAACATTGCTTACAATCAGCGGAGCTCCGATTCAATTCCACTATAGGAAACAAAAAGTTGAAGGAAAACACTTGGAAGACTTTTGCTTTCTTTTGACAACGACAAGTGAATTGGTGATCCATGGTTTCGGTTGTTCTTGGACTAAGCCAATATGAATGCAGTAATATTTGCTTTGACTAAGAGTTTGGGTGATTACGCTGGAAAATTTCCTTCCTGTTTCCTCTTTCAGCATCGGATTTCTGTTCCAAAATTTCAAAGCGATTACTGAAATCCAACTCAAGGATTCAGGTGTCATTGCCAACTAGTTTCTCTTACATTGAAATCCGATAGAATTGTTAAGGAAAGTTAAACTGTATATGCTGAACTTACTATCACTGTCCATTCCATATCATTCCGTTTGTACAATTGTTTGAATTTCCATTAAAAAATTTATCGGTTATGTGTGTGGAATGTGAGTGACAGTTCTTTCTTAAATCACGTTCATATAAGATACCTAATTTCTGAGAAAAATTTTCCGCAAACTGTAGTGTTTTCTTCTCCTTGGTTCTAGGGGTCTTGGTCATAGCCCTTAACCTACTGCTTCATTCAACGTTTGATGTCTCAGGACCACAAGTTTCCTTTAGGTAGTTTTTGATAATACAAGTTACGTAAAAATTATTTTAATTAAAAAATAAAACTAAATTTATTATAATTAATATAAGAAAAACAAAAAAATTAAAAATTAAAAAAATATTATATTGTTGAATTTATACAATGATTTTTTTTAAAATAGTAAAAACCTATAATATAAAATAATCCCAATTTTATGACAAAAAAATTTAATTCATATATTAAATAAATAATATTATAATATTTAATTTTACTTATTATTTTACGTCAATTATAAAAAATTTTCACCATTTTAAATGAAAAATTAAATTATTTTTCAAAGCAATAATTTACTCATTTTTAATAATTTAAAATCACCATCACATAAAATTATGAATTCTCAATCAACATAATGATTTAATTAACATATTTAAATTTTTATAACTTTTAAAGTAATAATTTTATATTAAATACTTCCTTAAATTTTAACCTTCATATCCTAAATTATGTACAAATAATAGCGGACTTTTAGTTATTATAATAAGAAAAGGAATGATCAACTTAAATTGTAAAATTAAAAAGTTTTACATTTTTTTAATAATTGATTTAATAAATTTAAGAGATAAAATTAAATAAAATTTTTTGTTTTCTTAAATTTATTGAAATCAATAGTTAAAAAACATAATTTTTTTTTAATTTTACACTAATATAAATTAATCTCTTACTGTAGTTAAAGAAATATAGAGCTAACTATTCAAAGCCTCACTTGAGTGATGTTTCCCAAATCTCAACTCCACCTGAAGAAAAAAAAAAAAAAATCAAGTAGCCAATCCTGTGTACCTATAAAAGAGAAAGAGGGGGAAAAAAAAAGACTATGGATCAGCATCCCATTTTCTTCATTGGGCTCGAATCTCTTTTAAGGATTGGGCTACAGGCACTGGTTATTTGAGGGTAGACTTACTGACGAGGTTCCTCCATGGCTGGCTGGGCTAAAAGTTTAATACTTTTATAGTTCTTAATTGCTACTATTTTAATGAACGGAATGATTAAATTAATTTATAAACAAATTGTACATAACTCAAACAATTTTCATTTACAAGCAAAAAAAAATTATTTATACAAGTATTTTCATGTTTCCTAAATTCATTTACTTGTTAGATTATCATTAATTTCTTTCGACTCATGTAAACTTTCCAGGATGAAGAATGGTACTGTTTCAAATATCTCTCATATTCCCCTCTATTTGCAGTGGACAGTGTTCAATCTAATGCTAGTTAAGATTAAATCTATACGAGGATCAGACCGGATTAAGTTCAATTAACTTTCTAAAAGTTTGATTTAATCTTTTAAGTTCAAGAGATTCAAAATTTTTTTAAAATATATTAAATATTATTATTTTAAATACATATTTATTATAATTTAATATTTCAAGCTGAATCAATTTGGATGAAATGATCGGATTAGATAAATAATCTTGCCTACGTACATGTCCAGTTGTGGTGGACAAAATTATATATTATTAAATGAAAAGATTAGAGCATAAAGTAGTCCACTATCTAAAGAAAACTGAGAAAGATATAATATATTCTTTTAATCCACTAGAAAATTTCGGCAAAAGCAACA